GTCAGTGCTCTACTGCACCCTGCCTGTAACTCTTACTGGAGCAGCTGGTGGGTTTGAACTAGCGAACTTGCGGTTAGCCACCCAAGGAGTCAGCACTGCACACCAGAAGGGCCGGCGCCACATTGTCTGTGGGCCAGAATCCAATCGCCAACCTTTCCCTGTATTAATGCAGCCCCCTGCCTGGGTCCTAGGACCTGTGCCCTGGCGTCCCAGGAGTTCCCCTGTGCCTAACGGTAGGAGGCCCCAGTTCTGATGAGTCCCAGAATCAAGTCGGCCAGGATTTCCTTTCAGTGACATTTGCACAAGTCACCGTGCCAGTGGGGAAGCCATTAATAAGCAAATGAGCTCATTGAAGAAGTCACCTCCCACAGTGTCTGGCACATTATGAAGCACCTAATTGTACCTTGCTGCTCCTACACAATGTGTTTCTGGTGCTGCTGTACTTGAAGCAGGCCACAGCATCCCTCCAGGTCTTCAAGCAGCCCGCCACCTCAGGCACCTGATACCAAGGGGCTCCTCACCTCCCTTTAGTCTGTCACCTGGGACATGGTCCAGAGGACACCCGCAGGCAACCTGGTAGTTGGCATCCTTGCTATTAACGCATCTGGTGCTCTGGTTGGGTGGCACGGCTGTCTTGATTTGACGCACCTGGAACCAGGTCTGGTCAGCGTCTGGTCTCAGCCTGTGACCTGCACCCTTCGCCCTGGGGTCTAGAATCCTGGGAGTAGAACAAAGCTGCTTGTTGTGGGCTGGGGGGGAGATGTTTTTCCCCACTCAGTCCTGAAGGTCCCGCCCTGTCTCCTCGCCCTGGCAGGTGTGGCAGTGTGGGGGCCAGCTGGAGATCATCCCCTGCTCCGTGGTGGGCCACGTGTTCCGTACCAAGAGCCCTCACACCTTCCCTAAGGGCATCAACGTCATTGCTCGCAACCAAGTCCGCCTGGCTGAGGTCTGGATGGACGACTACAAGGAGATTTTCTACCGGAGGAACCTGCAGGCAGCAAAGATGGCTCAGGAGGTAAGGGAAGGCGGTGCGTGGGGAGGGTCCGGGGGAAGAGACGCTCCGAAGCCCAGATGCCGACCGTGGGCTGCTGACAGAGCTCACGCCGTCACCACCATCTGGTCCCCCGCTTCACCCCTCTGCGCCCACTGAGGAGAGGGGCACTGTGGTCCCCCCTGGAGTTTCCCAGCGTCGTTTGGGAGGGGAGGGAGGAAGGAGCGGTTCAGAGGAAGAGCCTCAGAGAGAGACGAGGACTTGGGGAAAGCCCGGCGGGACATCTTAAGAGGTGTTGGAGGGCGCCCACAGCCAAGGGGGGTGGGGGTGGGAGTGGACTTGGGGTGGAGAGAACAGTGCAGTAGGTCCTGGGACACATTTGGGGGAAGGAGGCGGTGAGGCCTAGGCGGTGGGTCCTGACGCGTTGGGGGCTGGCTTGGTTGGCAGAAGACCTTTGGTGACATTTCGGAACGACTGAAGCTGAGGGAACAGCTACACTGTCGCAACTTTTCCTGGTTCCTACACAACATCTACCCAGAGATGTTTGTCCCCGACCTGAAACCCACCTTCTACGGAGCCGTGAGTCCTGAAACCCACCTGCCTACCCGCCATCCCACCACCAGGGATTCTGACGTAGCCCACCAGATGGATGGCAAACCGGATGCCATTCTCCATGCCCCATCCCCCAGGAAGCCCGAGCAGCCGCTGTGGGCGTCCACAGATGAAGGGGAAAACAACCCAGGCTTTTCAAACTCCAAACCCTCCTCCCCACCCTCCTCCCCCACCCCACGGGCTTGTGAAAACACTCCTTCCTGGGCCCCAATGCTGCAGCTTCGGGTTGAGTGGGTCTGGGGCAGAGGCTGAGAATTTGCATATCTAGCGGGCTCCCAGGGGCTGCTGTTGGTCTGGGGGTGGGGGTGGGGTGGGGGTGAGGGGCACACTTGGTCAACCTCTGCTCTTAAGGAAACTCACACATGCTGAGGCCTTCCTGGGGCCCAGCATCCCGAGAGGTTGTCCATCCTGCCCCACAGAGAACCTGGGCCCTGGCCTTGCCGGGGCCTGGGGTTCCCCTTTACGATGCCACCAATCCCGGTCACCTGGGTCAGCGAGCAGAGAGGGCCCGAGATGAGCATCCTCACTCAGGGAAATCTGGCCGTGCACACAGGTCCCGGGGGCGCACCTCCAAGCAGGAGACTCCTGACTGTGCCCTCCGGGGTCTCCTCTGTCCGTAGATCAAGAGCCTGGGGACCAACCTGTGCCTGGACGTGGGCGAGAACAACCATGGCGGGAAGCCCCTCATCCTGTACGTCTGCCACGGCCTCGGGGGCAACCAGGTGTGTGGACCACACAGGCCGGGGCAGGTGGGACAGGAGCCTGGCTCTAGGGTACCCCCTTTCCTCACAGTCCCCTCTTCCCCCAAAAGAGTCCTTCCTGAGACCCAGAGTGGGGGAGATCCAAAGAGAAGGGGAGACTAGGCTTGCCCTCAGGAGACCCCGGGGGCTGAGGGAAATACATGACACAGGCAGCTAGGGTGTGAATGGGGGCATCCAGAAAGAACACAGACGAGAGGGGGCTGGTGGAGGGGGCCTGTCATCAGAGAGACTTCACGGAGGACGCCAGACGCCGACGCTGCATGTGGACATGTCTGAGCTTTCCCTCACCTACACTCAGCTTCCATCTTCACTGCCTCCCCTGCCCAGAAGCCACCGCTCCAACCTTACCCCGTCAACAGTGGCCCCCAAACCACGCACGGGCATCTCATGGTGCCCCTGGCCTCTGGAGAATGTGCTCTACAGTGCCCCAGCCTTTCCCTGAGGGCCAGCGACTGACTCTCCACCCCCCACACCCCCTGACTGCGTGGCCTCGGGGAAGGCGTGTTAGAAGCAGAACGGAGGCCAGGAAAGGGCCAGCACAGGACACTGGTCAGGTGGTGTGAAGACGGAGCTGTTCTGCACCACGGCGCTGGGAGATGGGGTCAGGGGGTAAACAGATGAACATTCTTGAAGAGTACTCTATGAGCACACAAGAGCGGGGAGCATCGGTAGTTCCCCAGTAGAATTCTCACCGCCCCACAACCCGCCCTTCCAGAGACCTGGGTTCAATTGCCAGCCAAGGCCCCTCGTGCACAGCCCCCATCTGATTGTCAGTGGACATTTGTGGATTGCTGAGAGGACGAACAGGTGTCAACGGAGCATCCTGACTCAGACAGACAGAAGACAGGGTTAGGGGGTTTATATCCAAAAACCAGAGGATGGCAGGCCTGGGATTCAAGCCTAGATAGAGCTGACCTGAAAGCGGAAGTTCATCCAATGATACCTCAGGCCTCCGGGTGATGCAGCGTGACCGTGGGTCACAGACTGGTTCTCATTGGTCAGGGGGCTGCCAGCACCAGGCAGCAGCTTGCTACGTTGCACATGGGCTTGCTGGCCATGACTTGCCTGCCCACCCACGGGTGGTCGCGCAGACTGGGTGGCTGTGGGAGGCAGCAGGTGGACTCCTTGCCTGTCCCTCAGGACTCCTCTTATCTTGCCTTTCAGTACTTTGAATACACAACCCACAGGGACCTTCGCCACAACATCGCAAAGCAGCTATGTCTACATGCCAGCGCTGGCACCCTGGGCCTGAGGAGCTGTCACTTCTCTGGCAAAAACAGGCAGGTCCCCAAGGACGAGGAATGGGAATTGACCCAGGTGCGTCAGCTGCCCAGAAAGCTCAGGCCCCTCCCCACCCCACCCCTCCTCCTCCTCCTCTTCTCCTCCATCTTCAGCCTGAGCGTGGATCCGGGCAGTGACAAAAGTGTGGAGAGGTGGGCTTGGCCCCAGGCAGGCTTCTCAGAGCGATGTTAAGTGATGGGAGGGGGCTGGCTGTCCTGGGCCACTTCAAGACGGGGTTCGAGATGATCATCCACAGCCAGCTCCGCCCTGGCCCAACAAGTTTTCAGCAGAACCCGAGTAGATGCGGGTGCAGAGTTGCTCTCGGTTGCTGTGTGCTGTCCGGGGAGCAGGTGTGGAGCTAGGCGCTCACCTGCATGGTCTTGGCTATTTCTGCGGAGACCCTCCCCAGGTGGTGCTGTTTTCATTTCGACAGGTGAGGCCACTGAGGCTCAGCAAGTCTGTGACTTGACCAAGGCTGGTCCCTGGTAAATTAGTGGCAGGCCTGGGATTCGGAACCCGGCCGTGTCTGACTCGAAACCTAAGCTCGGCCTGGGAAACACAATGGGGCCCCGAGAGGTACAGTGTGACTATGTCCACCACACAGGGCCCAACAGCACTAGGAGTCTAATACGCACGCGCACACACACACACACACATCTCTAGTTCCTGACTTCCCTTACAACAGCGGTTCTCAACCTTCCCGATGCTGTGACCCTTTCACACAGTCCCTCACGTGGTGGGGACCCCCAACCATAACATTCTTTTCGTTGCTACTTCATCACTGTCATTTTGCTACTGCGATGAATGGTCATGTAAATATCTGATAGGCAGGATGTGTTTTCATGGTTACAAATTGAACATCATTAAAGCATAGTGGTGAATCACAAAAACAGTATGTCATTCTAGATTGTGAACACCTTATTTCTAATGACAAATAAATGAAATGTCTTGAAGCATGGTGTAGCATGGGTAACAGTCTTCATGCCAGGAACTCGTAGGTGGGCGTATCTGCATGTGGGCGGCCCGCCTGGAGACGGATAGAGGAGCCGTGTCTCGGTTCCTAAGACTACGGGAAATATGTGTTTCCCATGGTCTTAAACAACCCCGTGAAAGGGTCGTTGGGCCCCCAAAGGGGTCGTGACCCACAGGTTGAGAACTGCTGCCTTGCAAGGAGCCTCCCCTCTGGGGCACGACAAGGGGTGAGAGGCGAAGAGGGGGCTTGTGAGCCGAAGCAGGAAGTACGTTGGGGGAGGGGCTCCGAGTTTGAGTCTGGCTGTGGGGTCTGGGTGGGGAGCCGGGAAGGGAAGCCTCGCTCAGTTTCTAGTTCCTACCCGTCGGAATCCACTCCTTGGCAGTGGGCTTTTCTTTTCTTTCTTTTTTTTTTTTTTTTGAGTCAGTTGGATTTTTTCTCGGTTTGCTTTTTCACATTTTGGTTGGTTCACCGTCTTGCCTTCCCCTAGGCCAGCGCCCAGGCTGCGGTTGGAGACAGGCAGTGACTTGGGGGGGGGGCGATGAGGAAAGGCGCCGGGTTGAATTGGCTTTTCCTTTTATCTGTTGCCCCCCAATGCTGCTCCTGGAAATCCAGGCTGACCTCCTGCTGTCTTCTTCCTTTAGGGCCAGCTCTTCAGAAACTCAGGCTCTGGGACCTGCCTGACATCCCAGAGCAAGCATCCAGCCATGACCCCCTGCAATCCCAGGGATCCCCACCAGCACTGGCTCTTCAACTAAGCCCTGGGGAAGCCTGCACAGCCTCTCAGGAAACAGCCTTGCCAATGACTGGGGACCGGTCATTGGTGCCTTTGTGGGCCTGGAGGATGGACGTCGAGACCCCATAAGTGCCACGGCAGGACCTTTCTCCTCCTTGCAAGATCATCGGGCCACCGACACGCTGCTGGAAGGATGGGGCCTAGAACTTACCCTCTGTCCTAGAAACAGAGGCTTCCAAAGCCCAGCAGGCAGCTAGGGCAGGGCCTTCAGACAACAGCGTGAACTCACCAAAACAAAAACCAAAAAAACCCCACTCCGGCCACCTTGTCCCCAATCCCTGCTCCCCTGGAATCTCATCATAATGTGACCTCCCCGGGGGAGGAGAGCTCTGAGACAGCCTCCCTTGCTCTATTACTCCCAGTTTGAAAAGCCAATTCTGGTGTATAGAGAGCACCCTGACTTAGGCCCTGTATCTTATTTCATCTGCACAGTAGTCCTTGGAGGCAGGCAGGCGAGGCATCGTGCCCGTTTTATAGACAGACGCAGAAGCAGACCGCTGCGACAGGGCTTGCCACAGCCCCACCGCTAGGGATTGGTGGAACCGGAATTGATCTCAACTCGGAACCAAGCTCCCTCCGCCACACCCCGAGAACACTACTCAACTAGCCCCTGGTCCTTCCAGGCCCACGTCCCTTCACTTCCGACTGCACCAGCCAGCTGGCTTTCGTAAAGCCTAGCACAATGGAGCCAGGTAGCCAGGGTGGGAGAGGCCTCGTTTGGGCATCCCAAATGTGGATGTTGAAAGAAAGCTTAAGTCCCAGAACCCAATTTTCAAAACCCTGCATATAAAGTAGGAGCCCTGGTGGCATAGTGGTTACACCGTGGGCTATGATCCGCAAGGTCAACAGTTCAAAACCACCAGCCACTCCGTGGGAGAAAGATGGGGCTTTCTACTCCTGTAGAGTTACCGTCTCTGAAACTCACCGGGACAGTTTTGCCCTGTCCAATAGGGTGGACTCAATGGCAGGGCCTTTGGTTGGGTCTATAAAGTAGTAGGTGTGGGTGATCCCTACCGGCCCCTGAGCTTGGAAACATCTGTAGATACAAGTTGAAAACGTTTGTTTTAGTCCGGCCTTATCATTTTCTTACTACAAAAGGAAAGCCGGTGACTTATCGGGGATATGGAGGAGACATTTGGGAGTATTGCAGCAGAAAGGTGAAGTGATTTGACTAAGGTCATGCAGCAAGGTATGGACAGATCTGCAGCTAAAACTCAGGCCTCCTGAGCAAGCAAGCTCCCAAGAGCCCAGGAAGTCTGGGGACAGTGTGCACAGGCCAGCATGACTGAGTGAGCGAACCCACAGGAAGTCCCCAAGTGGAGCAGACACGACGAAACAGGACACACACAAGTCGGAACTCGTGGTGACCATGGCTGCGCCCACTACACGTTTTCGTTGCTGGAAGGATCGCGCACACACACTCAAGTGTGAGACAGACGGGCCTGGAGTGTACCCCAGGGTTTTGTTGGGTTGTCATCTTGGGCATTGCCACATGAGGGCGCCATTGGGCCATAGCTGCCTGGGACCATGCGCCTAGAATCCTTGAGTCCCCAGCCACCCTATTGGAGACACTTTGGAGAGTCCCTGCCAGAAGCAGAGACGTGCACAGCCAGAACTCAACCAGGGGTGGGGAAAAGGGGCAGTTCTTTCTGGAAAGAGAAAGGAGTTGGACTTGGGATCTCAGTGGGAAATAAAGGTTTTCTGACACTAGTGTTAAGTTCCTCCTCTGCTGTTTTCAAGTACCGGGTCCATTAGGAGGACCAGCTGTTTCAGTTCTGGGAAGCTGTGTCACACTCAACTGCTTCTTGTCCCCAAACATCCTCTGACCCCAATTCTAGCCCGCATGTTATATGGTGAGCACTGTCAATTCGGGTCTAGGGAGATGCGTCCCTTCCCACATGGAATGCGCTCTAACTGAGGAAACAGAGTGTTTGCCGTCAGACGCCTGGAAATGCGCTAAGGTAGGCCAGGGGAGTCAGAAGGGACGTTTCCTTTCACTGGAGAGAGTTAGTGAAAGCCTCATCAAGGGACATCTGGCCTTCCACCTGAGAGGATGAGCCCTCCGGCGGGAAGGGACAGAATCAGCAGAGACTAGCATCAGCCAAGCCACAGAGGCACACGTGGGACTGGAGGACCAGAAGGCCCCGGGCTGAGGGACACAGAGCAGGGCTGCAGGCTGGCCTTCCGGGCCCATGCCCTCTGGCCCTGAGGGGACACTTGCTCCATTTTAAGAACTCAAGTGGCATTTTACAACGGCATTGGTATGAAGACTAATCCAGGCTGGATGCTGCCCCCTAATACTTTTTAAAAGAAATCGGACCGTTTTTATGGGCCTCTGAAAGTACCGACTATTGGATAGGTCAGCCTTGCAGAAGCCTGGACCGGGGCCTGTTTGAGGAAAGCTTTGAACGTTATGCCAAGAAGTTGGAGTCAGAGGGAGCATGGTTGCGAACCCAAACATTCGTCAGGCATGGAAATGTTGCCACTTGCCGCACCGTCCTTCACATTGTGTTGCACACACATACACACATGTTGCCACTTGCTGCACCGTCCTTCACATTGTATTGCACACACACACACTCACCCCTCCAACAGCTCCCCAGCCCAATCTTGTCATTCGTCATGCCCTATGATAAGGTCAAGGGTGCTCACTGCTGCCCCTGAATAACAGAGCTAAGAGTAACTCACAGAATAACTCACAGAGGATGGACTAGTTCATTCTGACCTATAAGGCAGGAGAGAGCTGCCCCTTCGTGTTTCTGACGCTGTGGGTCTTCACAGGAGCAGGAAGTCTCAGCTGCTGACAGGGTGGTTAATAGCCCACAGAGCCCATGTGGCACCAGAGCTCGTGAGAGATGAGCCAGAGGAGGAAAGGGGCATGCCACGCCTAGAGAGTAGGCCCAAGCTTGGGGTGTGGGAGGACTGGGGCAGGAAGTAGTGAAGGTGAAGGCTGCACCTTGGTGTGGTGGGGGCTCAGGAAACCCGCTAGCCTTGCACTAACCCAGCATCTACCCTTTCCCTAAAGC